TGGGTGAGAGGTAAAGAGGGTGAATTTTAACGTGCGGCTCAGCAGTGCCTCTGAGTGTTTGGGAATACCAGTGTTCGGGGAAGAGAAGGGAGTGTTGGAGTTTCCCCTCTTAGCCATGATTCATAAGATGAGTTACAGGCTCAGCCAGAGTCTGATTAGGGCTCCCAAGGCTGGCAAGAGGAGGGCTCAGTGTGCGTCCTGGGGCTTCAGCTGCTCCCATCCTGCGCCAGAGGGGTCTTCCAAGACACTTCCTGGCATATCGGGAAGGAATTCCCAGGTTCTTCCTCCCCAAGGCCCAGTTTGTCTGATTTTCTTCCTTAGCAGTGACTCAACTCTCCCCTTAGAGATAGGAAGAAAGTGCTTCTGTTCTTGGAAATGGTTAAGCACTGACTACTAACACAAAGGTTGATGGGTTCGAATCTACCCAGCTATGCCATGGAGTAAAGGCCTCCATGGAGTAAAGGCCTAGTGATCTGCTCCCATAATATCACAGCCAAGACAGCCCTATGGAGTGAAATTCTACTGTGTAACAAATGGGGTCGCCATGAATCAGAATTGACTCTGACAACAGGTTCTGTTCTTGGCTGCAAAATACTGCTTCTCTCGGTGTCAGGGAGCTCCCAGTTTGTTGGCAGGGCATTGGGAAGAGGAGATATAAAATCTCTCAGGAGACAGGAGTGGGGACTTGGAGGGATCTTCCTGCAGGAATGATGTGGCTCAGACTCCTAGGGCTGTGCGAGTTTGGGACAAGCAGAATCCGTGGAGAGGGAGAGGTGTCCTGGGAGAGCTGGGGCAGTTGATGACAGCCTGCCTTCCAGGTTCCCTGCCTTTGCTGTTAGCCTGACCTGTTTGCAGGGAGCTTCTGGCGGCTTCTGTACTTGAGAAAGCTCTGGATGAGGCAAGGCCGTCAGGGCCCAGGGGCCCTGGAAAGCTCCAGGCCAAGTGGGGTCTCATTTAGGCAGTGGCTGAGGCAGCTGCACATTTGGTTAATCACCCTCATCCTGGGAGCTTGTTAATCAGAAAGCCGGTGTTCACAGCAGATTCCTCATCTCACCGGCTGCTGTGAGGCAAGATGGAGCTGGCCCGGCTGGGTAGGCTGGGCCAGCTTCCTGCTGTCTCGGCCCCATACTTACCTTGTCACATCTTAAGCTATTCCTGCCCGAATCCCTCAGATGCCTGGTTCAGATTTGGGAAGAAGCCAGGCCTGCAGGAAACACTGGCCCAGCCCCAGGCCTCGGGACGCTTCCCCTCTGCAGCCCTTGCAGGCACTCCTCCTTTGCCCCCCCTGCTTCCCACGCTCAGGCTGGGTCAGGCTGTGGTCCCTCAGCTCCTGGCTTATCAGCAGGTCGCCCTTGGCCTCGATGGCTTCCCACTTCAGGAAGTACTTCCCACACTACCAGAGCCACCTCAGGAAGCCCTGCTCTAGGCCCATGGGGGAGGGCCATGGGAGGACCCTCATCTGTTAAGGCAACAGATCTAAACACTGAGCAAGCAACTTTATCCTTCAGAGTCTCTGTTTCCTCACCTGCTAAGAGGATCTGGTACCATTTATCCACAGGTGTGAGGTTTCAATGATTTAACAAGTACGAAAGCCCAGGCAAACTGTAAAGCTCCCTCCATGTCCAGGAGCAGCATTTACAGTTGATATAACCAGGTCCATACTCGTAGAGTTAGCTTTGAAGAGGCCCCACTTCCTCCTCTAGCAGTTTCCTTCTCTGCACCCCGTGTTATATAGAACTGTGTTGTGTCCCCTCCAAAATATGTATTGGAATCATAACCCCTATACCTATAGATGTGATCCCATTTGGGAATAGAGTTTTCTTTATTATGTTAAAGAGCCTATATCAGTGTACCAAAAAAAAAAAAAAAAAAACCCAAACTCACTGCTGTCGTATCAGATCCAACTCACAGCGACCCCTCCTTGGGTTTCTGAGTTGGTATTTCCAAGGTGGGTTTGAGTCACCAGCCTTCTGGTTAGCAGTCAAATGCTTTAGGCACTATGCCACCAGAGGGAGTGTCTTAAACCTAATTGCTTTTGAGCTATGAAGAGCAGATTAGACACAGAGGCACACACAGTCTGGGGGAGGCAGATACCATGTGGAGCTCACCAAGAGACCAAGAAACAGAAACTGAAAGAGACAAAGATTTTTTCCCCTAGAATGGACAGAGAGGGAGTCTTCCTTTAGAGCTGGTGGTGCCTTGAATTTAGCCTCGGAAACTATGGGAAAATGCATTTCTGTTCTTCAAAACTATCCGTTTGTGGCATTTCTGTTACAGCAGCACTGGGTAGCTAAGACACCCCGTGAAACCTGTGCGGCAGCGTTGCAGAGCCACTCACCCCCGGTGCCTCCCCACCTCTGCGCTCTTGTGCATCCAGATTTATGTCTTTGCTGCACTTTCCCACCATGCATCATTGTGTCTTGAGATCCTGCGCAGGCTGAAAGCTGCATTTGCTTTCTGGTTAGGAGCTCTGGTAGCATAGTGGCTAAGGCACTTGACTGCTAACCAGAAGGCTGGCGGTTCAAACCCACCAGCCACTCCTCGGAAGGAAGGTTGGGCAATCCTACTTCTCTAGTGATACTGCCTCGGAAACCCAAGGAGGGGTCGCTATGAGTCAGGGATGACTCGATGGCACATAACAACAACAACAACAGTGAAAACGTTGCATGGTTTTATCATCTTCTAAACACGAATTGGAAGTCTCCTGCACCCTGGCTAGGTAAGAAGCTGCTGCGGACCTGGCAGAGAACGTGGAGAGGATGAGTCAGACCTGGTCCATCCCTCACTAGACTCCTCTCCCTCCCCACCAGGGTCTGGCACAGAGGGATGTCTGAGAATGCCAGAGGCATTTGTGTTGTGGTCAGGACTTGTGACCAGTGCAGGATTTGCACAGATCCCTGCGCTGCAGAGGGCCCTGGGCTTAGGATTTAAAGCTTGAATTTTGAATAGTTTTATCTTTGAATCTGTATTTTGTAAGTGAAGTCCAATGGGACGATGGGGCATGCACTGAGGGGCTTGGAGCTTCAGCTCACAAATGGTCCTGCCTTCCCCACCTTCCTTTCCAGGAAGGTTTCTGGGCACCTCTGCCCCTACCCTCTGGCTCCCCAGGCCCTACCCAGTTTTCTCCTCTCTGCTCCCGTGACAGCTGCTGTCCTCTACCCTAGGAGAGGAGGTCCAGGGTCAGGCATGCAAACCCCACTGTGCTGTTCTGCCCTGGGCTGGTAACATCACAGTGCATTTGATGGGTGACTCTTTGAGAGCAAGCATCTTTGCCCAGCCCACTCCAGGTACCCAGTAGTTTCAGTTGCAGAGGTTGCAATAATCTTGGGGTTACCTGTCTGCTCTGGGTGGAGGTTTGGGGAGGGAACTGGTCTTCCTTGAGTATGGTCCTATGCTGGCCCTTGGGACCCAGAGCTGACCCTTGAGGGAAGGTCCTGAGAATTGAAGCTTCTGAAGAAGTGAGGTCTTCATGGAAGAGATTGGTCCCTGGGTTGGTTCTCAATAGCCTCCCTCCCCGAAAAAGTGTACAGAAAGGACTAGAAAGAAATACGTAAAATGTTATCAAGTTTCCTCTTAGTGATGGGATCATGAGGAATATTGTTTTGTTCTTTAGACTTGTTAGCATTTTCAAATTTTCAATAAGCAGCAGCTCTGGTAGCGTAGTGCCTAAGGCACTTGACTGCTAACCAGAAGGCTGGTGGTTCAAACCCACCAGCCACTCCTTGGAAGGAACATGGGGCAATCTACTTCCGTAGTGATACTGCCTCGGAAACCCAAGGAGGGGTCACTATGAGTCGGTCTGACTTGACGGCACTTAACAACAACAACAACAACAATTACTTTTATAATTATAGAAAAAAAGGCATTCATGAAAAGAAAGAAGCCATTTCAAATAGTCCAACAAGAAAGGATGGAGTTCTGTATTTGGGCAGTAGTGGGGGATTCAATTATTCATTCAACAAATATTGACTGAGAAGTACTGTTTTAGACCTGGGAGAACACCATGGGACAATGAAGGGGTCCCTGCCATTGTGGAGTCTATGTTCTGATGGAGGAGGGGTGTAGTAAGGAGGTCTACTCCCTGGGACTTTGTTACTGAATGTGGGGACAAAGAAGAGCAAAGTGTCAGGGTTGACTCCCAGGCTTGGAAAGAAGGAGGTGACTTCCATGGAGGCAAGAGACAGGGGAGAAGAGCAGTGGCAGCACATTTACCTTGGTCGTGGTGAGTGTGAGGCACCTGGGAAATAGCCAGAGATGTCTGGGAGGAAGTGAGATGTGTGTGTCAAGAACTTAGGAGAGAGGACTGGACTACAGATGGAAATTGGTGGTTATGTGCATGGCCGTGAGGTTGGGCAATCCTACTTCCGTAGTGATACTGCCTCGGAAACCCAAGGAGGGGTCGCTATGAGTCGGGGCCGACTCGACGGCACATAACAACAACAACAACAACAACGTGCATGGCCGTGATGTTCAACACTGACCCTCATAGAAGGGCACAGAGTAGGAAACACCTGGGAAGCAGCTGCTTCATTACGGCGGGAGAAGAGGATCCAGAGAAGAAGGCAGAGGCGAGAAGGTTGGAGTAGAAGGGGAGGCAGGCCAGGACTCCCCCAGGCATTGGCATCATGGTTCCATACTTTGCCTTCATAAATGGCTAAGATTGAAGTCTATGGTAGGCACAGGGTAGGGCAGGAAGGGGGGAGAAATATCCCATTCCAGAAATGCAGTGTCTGGTCAATAGTGATGGCTCCCTGGGTGGCACAAACTGCCCTTGACTACTAACCTAAAGGTTGGAAGTTTGAAGCCACCCAGGAGATAGGCCCGAGGATCTGCTTCCATAAAGATCATTGCCAAGATAACCCTATGGAATTTAGTACCACTCTGTAACACATGGGGTCGCCATTAGTCAGAATGAACACAATGACGGTAGGTTTGTTGTTTTGGGTTTGGTCTACAATGACACAGGGAGTCTATACTCATGGTTCTTTTCTTTTCTGCAGGAGAAGGCACAGTGCCCTGCACCTCCAGCATCCTCCAGGAGAAGCAGCGTGAGTTAATCCTAATCCCCTTGGAATATTTTCTTCCCCTTGGGGGATCCAATCTCCTTGGACCCAAAGCCCCTCTCTCTCTTGTCCATTCAGAACCCAGGAGGTTGTAGGATTGTCACTATTTTGTTCCCAGGCAAAACCAGAGGGCCTGGGGCTCAATCAACTGGTCTCAGGTCACTCTCCGTCTCATGAGCTGAGCAACTTGGGGTCTTGAATCCTCAGTGTTGGCAGGTGTGGTGTCAGAGCCAGAGTGCGAGCCTGGGGCTGATGGAGTGGGGAGGTGAGCCCAGCAGAGCAGATGGGGGCAGGGAAAGCATTGTGCGTGTCATTTGTATTTGGACAGAAAGAGAGAAGGATGGAATGGGGACAAACCCTCAGTGTCTTTGAGACACTCTCCTTTGGGTGACACACTTGTAGGAACCACAAGTGTTTGTGACCATGGAGCCAGAAGCTTCTCATTCCAGGCCGTGCTGGATGTGATGAAAAGGCTGGGGGCTTGGTGTTTGAGTCGTAGGGCCTCCCGGGTCTTCCTTTAGGCTTCTTCAGATTCCCTTCTGCCATGTTTTCTGAGGAAATGAGCACAGGACTAGATCCAGGAAGGACTTGGTAAAGATGCATTAACTTGCTGATATAGTAACCTCAAGCCATCCTCTCTGGAGGTTCTGGGTGAACCTGAGGGGCAGTGACTGAGCTACATGCCTTTGCCCTTGGTGGTACTAAGTTTCATTTGAGGCTGGGGTCAGGGAAAGGACTCTGTAAGTCTCAGGCATGTGCTCAGAACTTCTCTTACTTTTCTCTCCTGCTATTTGGAGCTACGGTTGTAGCTTTTGGGGGCTCAGTCCTCTACCCTCCACCTCAAGCATGAGGCCTTGTTCTAAGCTCTTCAATCCCTAAGATACTGTCCTGAGAGGGAGGAGCACCTGCCACGTAAGCCTTCCCATGGCTCAGGACCCAGTCCTGGGTGGGAGCACCAGCCTCCCAAGGAGCATTCTCTGTGTTTCTCACACTTGATGGCAATTTGTAGACATTGCATGGATGTCTCTGTCAAGCCTGTCCCCCCAAGGCATAGGCCAGAAGTACACCAGGCAAGGGCGGGGCAGAGAATAGGAGGGGATGGTTTCTTTAGTGGCCCATCTCCCTTAGAATATGGAGGATGGCACTACTTTCCTAAGGAATGTGAGAATGGAAATAAGCACATATTCTTCCATTTGTGTGTCTTCTTGTTGTTACCTCATGTTGAGTTGGCCCCTGACTCATGAAGACCCCATACATAACTGAACGAAACATTGCCCAGTCCTGCACCATCTCTGTGATTGGTTGCCCTTGTAACCCACAGGGCTTTCATTGGTTGATTGCCTGAAGTAGGTTGCCAGGGCAAGGTTTTCTTCCTAGTCTGTCTTAGTCCAGAAGCTCTGCTGAAACCTGTCCAGCACTCCAGCCCCTACTGACGGGTGATAGCTGTGCATGAAGCGCATTGGTAGGGAATCAAATGCAGGTCCCCACCATGGAAGTTGAGAATTCACCACTGAACCACCACAGCCCTCCTCTGGGCCTCAAGGAGGAGGAAACCATGCAGCACCTCACAGTGAAAAACATAGCCACCTGGTCATGGGGTTTGTGTCTCCAGTGCCAAACCACAACTCAACTTTCCTCATACACAACTGGATTGATAGGGTGTTTGAGGTCTTCTGGACCTGGCTGAAAAAACGTGTGTTTAAGTAGAGGTGACTCCTCGGAAGGAAGGTTGGGCAATCTCCTTTTGTAGTGATACCGCCTCAGAAACCCAAGGAGGGGTCGCTGTGAGTCGGGTCCAACTCAACGGCACATAACAACAACAACAACAACAACAACAACAACAACAAAGTAGAGATGAAGTCTTCTTCCTTTTTTGTTTCAATCAGAATTATATTGGTGAAAAGTGTTATCTAATTCAGTTCCTTAAGCATATTCTGATTTGGCAAAGACTGATAGTAGATGCAAGGAGCACTGGAGGTGCAATGCTTAAGCACTTGGCTGCTAATGGAAAGGGTGGTGGTCTGAACCCATTCAGCAGCTCTATGGGAGAAAAGACTTGATGATCTGCTCCCATAAAGACTGAACCCAAACCAAACCCATTGCTGTCGAGTTGATCTTGACCCATAACAACCCTATATGATCAAGTAAAACTGCCCCATAGGGTTTCCAAAGCTGTAATTTTTATAGAAGCATACTGTCACATCTTTCTCTGGTGGAGCAACTGGTGGGTTCAAACTGCTGACCATTCAGTGAGCAGCTGAGCACTTAACCACTGCACCACCAGAGATTCTTTCCATAAAGATTACAGTCTAGGAAATCTTATGGAACAGTTGTACTCTGCCATCAGTTTCGCTATGAGTCGGAATTGACATGACGGCACACAATGATAGTAGATGTACAGCTGAAATGGGAGCTCGGAGGCACCCAGTGTTCCCCAAGTGTTGTTGCTGTTGGGTTCTGTCAGTTGATTCTGACTCATAGCAACCCCATGTGACAGAGTAGAACTGTCCCATAGGATTTTCTTGGTTGTAATCATTAAACAAAGGAGTTTTGGTGGTCTATTGGTTAAGACATTTGGCTGCAACCAAAAGGTCAGTGATCCATAGAAAGAAGATTAGGCAGTCTGCTTCCATAAAGAATGACAGCCTTGGAAACCCAATGGGGGTCGCTGTGAGTTGGAATTGACTTGATGGCAGTGAGTTTTTAATCGTTAAAGAAGCCGATTGCCAGGTCTTTCTCCAGTGCAGCAGATGGGTGGGTTCGAACCACTTACCTTTCAGTTAGCAGCTTAGCACTTAACCATTGTGCCACTAGTTCTCCTTCCCTGAATACGAGCCCAACATTTTCCACAATGAGAATAACAACACTGTGAGGCTGATTGTATTCAATTGAGAAGATTGCTTTTATTCTATACTGATATCCAGCTTGTAATTTTTCGCATTAAAATACTTTTTTCTTTTTATAAAATGACAAGAACAATTGATGACTGTTTGTTAATTTTAAATCCAAATTTAGCAACATAATTTATGACCCTACAGACTGAAAGATTAATAACAATGCCTTACATTTATGGTGCAAACAGTTAATGCACTCGGCCGTTGACTAAAAGGTTGGCGGTTCAATCCGAGGTGCTTTGATCTACTTCTGAAAAATCAGCTGTTGAAAGCCCTACGGAGCACACATGTTGTCTCCTCTGACACACTTGTTGCCATGAGTCAGAACTGACTTGATGACAACTGGTTACCATGTACAGTGTGCTTCTATGTGTATTATCGTATTTATTGTTTCCACTTGGTTTTGGAAAACTCACTAAAAACAAGTAGTAAGGTGGTACGTATTGTCCTGGGCCACGAATAAAAAAATCCTGGGACTGCGTTAGGACATCTGGGCGCTGGAATTACACAGGCCTGGTTTTGAAGCCCAGTGCCTTTGTTGACTCGCTGTGACACTTTGGACAAGTTGCCTAATGTCTCTGAGGTTCGTTTGCTCTGTTGTGGAAAGATAACTAAGATGTTTGCTTCCTAGGATGGCTGAGGGCATCAGAGGTCATATATGTGTGGTGCCAAGATCTGCACCTGGCACATCAAAAACAAAAAACCAAATTAACTGCCATCGAGTTGGATCCAACTCATAGAGGCCCTTCCTTGGGTTTCCTAGGCGATATCTCTATGGAAATAGATTGCCCAATCTTTCTTCTGAGGAGTGGCTGGTGGATTTGAACCACTGGCCTTCTGGTTAGCAGTCAGATGTCTTAGGCACTACTCCACCAGAGCTCCTACCTGGCACATAGGAAGTGGCTAATAGTCCTTGTTTGTTATTGGCAGTTTGGTCGAGTGTTGGCACCTGGTTGCAGGTATGAGAGGTGAATCTTGTCATTGCCCAAAGCGCAGTCTGTTTGGTGTTCCGCTCATCCTGTGGCCGCCTCCAATGTCATCATCACAGAGGTGTTTCCCCATGAGTCTGAGTTGCCAGAGAATGTCCTGAGCTGGTTGGAGTCACCAGGTGTCTTGGGTTGTAAGCACAGGGAAGAGGTCAGTGTGGCCTCTTAGCTCCTGTGCAGGTATGAGGTGGCAGGCCTTTCTGCATGGATTCCCCCCCCCTCCCAAGTCCTCATCTTGTGGTTGGACAGACAGCCTGGTGGCCTGCCACCACTGGCTTGTGCTTGTGATTTGAACAGATGTGAGGATACCTGGGGAGCCACTGTGGGTGAGGTGGGGAGCAGAGGAGAAAGAGGGCCTTGGACTGGGGGTGCAGGAGACCTGGGGTCCCCTGCCTGACATGCTGTGCAGCCTTAGCTCTCATTGGTGGCCAGTCTCCTGTCCTGCCTGTGTTGGAAGCCCCTTCCAGATCTAACTTCCCAAGGGTCTCTGCTTTTCTTTGTTTCTTTGTCTTCTGATGTCCTTTGTCAGCATCTCCTCCTGTTTCTGCTCCATTCACTCAGCAAACATTTACAGAGTGCTTGCAGCATGCCAATGTAGTGCTGGGTACATGGACTCAATTTGTCACTCTTTCTGTTCCTCCCTCTCAACTGAAGGGTGCATTTTCCACAAACCCAAGCTAGAAACCTGGGCGTCCTTCTAGACTGCTCCCTCTCCGTCACTCTCCAGAACGAAACCAGTTCTTGAATAGCATCGATTCTACCTCCAGCAGAGGTCTCAAAGGCATCCACTTCTCTCCAGTCCCCTGATGCTTTGGTAGCTGAGACAGCCATCTTCCTTCTCCTGGACTATTGCAGCCTCTTCATCCCTAATCTCCCTGCCTCCAGTCTCTCCTACTCCAATCCTTTCTCCAGGTGTCAGAGAGACCTTTTCAAGAGACACATGCCTTCTTGATACCCCCTTGCTCACTCATCCATGATTCCTCTTCAGTGACAGTACAACTTGCCCCTGCCCTACCTCCCTGCCCACTTTTCCCATCAGCTCTTGCCCTTCCTTTCCACCCCAATTTCTGGGAGGGGCACGAGGACTCATAACACGGTTTTCCCATGGGCTAACTGGAATGCTTGAGCGTTCCATCCATCTGCACAGAGGGCGAGAGGCAGCTCCTCCACAGCAGATGGTAGGAAGGACTTGGATTCTCCACAGTGATTCCCTTGGACCCCAGCAAACTGCCCTTTACTTCCCTGGTCTACCATAGAAGAAGCAGAAAGTACAGCCATTGGTTCAATTCCCACACCCCTGTCCAGGTCTGTCTCTCTCAGGAGGCCTGTCACTGCTCCACCCTCTCTTCCCTCTTTCCCTTCTCAGCAGTCCATAGCTTTCCAGG